TTGGGTATATATATATATATATATATATATATATATATATATATATTAAATATACTTATTGTATTAATAGGGATTTCCATTTTCACTAGTTTTAGATCAAATATTTGTTTCCAATTGAAAATAGCCCATTTTGGGCACTAGGGTGTGCTTTTGCACTTTGGGCAATGGCAAATCTCTTTTCTTAATTGAGTTGTAGTTTTACTCAGTTTACGTTCCTTCTCTAAGTCAGTATTCTCATTATACTTCTACTTGTTTTGTTACAGAATATCTTTTGAATAATTCAACATCACACAAACTGTTTTCATAACTGCATTAAATCGAATCGATATTAATTCATTGTATTAATTTTTCCTCTGCCATGATATTTAAGTAGTATTATAACTATATTTTTCAGTTATGGCTGACTGCCCACATACCATTGGTGTTGAATTTGGTACAAGAATTATAGAAGTATCAGGCCAAAAGATAAAATTACAAATTTGGGATACTGCTGGCCAGGAACGATTCAGAGCTGTGACTCGTTCGTATTATAGAGGAGCTGCTGGAGCTCTAATGGTTTATGATGTTACTCGCAGGTGTGACATAATTTTTTTGGGTTATATTAGAATTTAGATTAAAAGCTGACCTTTTTAAATCATTTTTATAATTTTTCAGGTCGACATACAATCACTTGAGTAGTTGGCTTACAGACACTCGAAATTTAACCAATCCAAGTACTGTGATATTTTTAATAGGCAACAAAGTGATTTAGAAGCACAGAGAGAAATTTCTTATGAGGAGGCCAAACAATTTGCTGATGATAATGGCCTAATGTTTGTGGAAACAAGTGCTAAATCGTATGTAGACAAATGTTATGTGTTTAACATCAATTTTGATTCGTATAAGTAAAAACTCTCTGTTTTTTCTCATTACTTCTTAATAGATTTATTTGCCCTCACATTATTAGTGATTTTTGTGATAATTCTATATTTTAGAGGCCAAAATGTTGAAGAGGCATTTTTAGAAACTGCTAAAAAAATATACCAAAGCATTCAAGACGGTCGTTTGGATTTGAATGCGGCTGAATCTGGTGTTCAACACAAGCCTCCCATTCAACCAGGTCGCACAACTCAACCAGCAATTAATGGCAAGGAAAACTGCTCTTGTTAGAGTAGAAATAAATATAGATATAAAAAGACAAATATTTGCATTAAAGTACAGGTCATCTCAAACAGGAAGAGTTAGAACCAAAAAAGGTATGATTGGTTTAATAAGATTCTATTTATTATCTTTAAATGATATGCAACAATCTTTATATGGGAATTTATATTACATGTTTATCTGTACTTACATGTATGGAATATATTTAACATATATGCATATCTATTTTTATTTGTATAGATATTCATAAAAGGTATATTTGAAATTGACTTTGTTGATTAATATAAGATAGCAATAAAGTAAAAATCTACAACTAAGTTTAATTCAAATAATTTTATCCTAAACATATTCTTAATATTTTTGAATTTTTATGCTAATGCCATATATAATTTTCTTATAGTTCAATATTTTTAACATATGATTCTAACAAAAACATTAAGAACTCACTTTTGCCTTTTTTGTATATTAAATTCAAATAAAATTATGATGAATATTAATATATTCTTGAGGTGATTTCAAAATTGTCTATTACACAAAATGCATTATTTTTAAAAATATTTTTGAACTCGAAATAAATTAAGTTTCGTCAAAATAATATTTGCAATGTATTAGGCACTTTTCAGCAGCAACCTTGCATAGAAAAGTAAACATGCAGAATAGTGTTTTTGATTTTGTGAATCTCAATTTTGTTTTGCAAATGTCTCATGCGATGTTATTTTTCTAGTTATCAGGGTTTGTTTGAAGATTCACGTTTAAAGTATTATTGATTAATTGCACTCTCTTGAAAACTCATTAATAAATCCCGGATAGTCTAAGCCTAGATGTAATTTAACTATTGGCAAGCTAATGTATTTTTATTTTGGACACATTCCAGATTAGTGAGCATTTAATGCAAAATGTAAATGGCTTTTCCCGTAGGAATAGATGCGAAAATTCCTTTTTTCGGTGTTAAATTTTATTTGATATTTATGTATGTATGTATATAAGTATTTAAGTTTATATATATATATATATATATATATATATATATGCGAATAAAATATTATTAACAACTTACAATAAAATTGGGCATCCTAAAATTATTTTTGCATCTACTTTGTTTGCTTTAACTTTTTGTAATCGAATTTGTATACAATTTCAAATATTCATTTCAAACTGGAAAAGTACACATTATATGTGATAATTCAGCCTCTTGTACAACATGCAATGAAATCTATATTGGAACCAAAATTATGAGTACTATAAAATCAAAATTTATATACCGAGTAAATTAAGCAAACTTTGTTTGATGTTGTTAAATAAGTATATCCTTTATTAATTGTATTATATAACACTAAAAAAATTAATATAATAATAATCAATAATTTATAGAATGTATGGTCAAAATATATATTATGAAAAAGATGTATTATATACAGAGTTGAATAAATATAATGGATTATGATAATGAGGGCAATTTTTGGTAATAATGACAATTTGAAACGATGTAATGATTCATTGCAGTGATAGCATTTATATAGGATTTTTGTGAGAATCTCATTTGTCTCATCAAAAATAATGGGATCAACTCTGTAATCTTCGGTTTCTTTTCAAGGCTTTTAATCTTCTCGTTTGTACCTTTGTGTGATACATCCCTATCACAACAAGAATTACAAGTAACGTTATTGAACCTCCAGCTATAGCATAGAAAGCTCTCCCAGATCGAAAAGTTGTTTGATGGTATGTGCTTGATGCTAGGCTCTAAAATATATCACTTTCGTTAATTGTTTATGGCGAAGTAATATAAAAAACGATGCTAAAATCAATAAATGAAGAAACATCTGTAACAGTATTTGGGTTTTACCAAATCTTTCAGGTCGGCTTTCATATAATTCTTTGAGTCTTTATCACACAATACTTTGCCAGGCCAATTGTACCAATAAACCAAACGCGTAGAACCACATCGCAATTCGGGTAAAACGTGCTGGTGATGTTTATACAAAAATGGTAATATATCGTCTAAAAACCATTGTAGGCTGCAAGAGCATATCAAAGGGTTTCCCTGTAATTGAAATTATTTTAATTTGCGTGGATTTGGTTTTGATCTTGGTTTTGGTTTTGGTTTTGCAATATTCCTATCTCTTGAATATATTCATTAAATTGCTAGATTTAATTTGATTTAGTACCTACCTGTAAATCAAGTTCTATGTCGTTTGGCACCGAGAGCGGCACTTCTTTCAGAGCGTTATGACTCAAATTTAACTGAAATATGATTTTGTGAATTTAATTTTGTATTATATTTTTTATAAATTCGTTATCTACTCACACTACATAAATTTATATTTTCAAAAGCATCATTTTGTATTTTAACCAGCAATTCACAATTTGAAATGCTCAGATGAACACAAGGTTTATTTGATTCGACAAATATTCTGCCATCTAAAAATTCAATATCTTATTAGAACATTTGTATAATAAAGATTTCATATCGTTTGGGCTCAATTATATTATTACGTATGTTTTCGAGTCCCGAAATTTCTGTAAGTCTTGACATATCGTTTATCTCGAGCGTTTCCAAGGAAAGGATATTTTCAAATTTAATTTTGCGAATTGGATTTCCACTTAGTGAAAGGTGTCTCAAATTGGGCATTAGATTTATGTCGAGTTGTTCTGGTAATATTGAAAAATCATTGTTGCTTAAGTCCAATGTTGAAAGCTCATTTAGTTTCATTCGCGGATACTCAATGAGTACATTTCCGGAAAGTATTAAGGTCTGAAAAAGAATGATACTTGATTCTGATAGTTATTCAAATTATTTCATAATAAACTACATACCTCTAGTTTTTTGTAAGATTCATCCAAGTTCACTTTTCGTATGTTATTTTGGCGTAAATTTAAATAACGCAATTCTTCAATGGGCTTTTCAAAAGGCCAAAATATATAAGCGTTCCATTCAAGATTTACAACTTGTATACTTTCTGGTAGAGTAAGAACATTGGAAAGTCGATTGTACGAAATGTCCAAAGATTTCAGGTTACTGATATCGAATGCTTTTGATTCAATGTTGACAATTTTATTGTTAGATAAGTTTATATTTTCTCTGTAAAATAAATCAGGATTTAGCATTTGTTTGGAAGAACAACTTGTTCACACTTATGAATAAATATAATTACAATGATTTCAGTCCGCTGAAAGTTTCACTGGCAATGACGGTTAAATTGTTTTTACTTAAATCCAAGTTCTTTAATTTCGGTAACATCAATTCATTTGTTTTCAAAATGAAAATAATATTTGAAGACAAATCTAAAGTTCTTAACTCCTTCAAATTTTCTAATGTCTACAACATGTTGAATCTATTAATAACTTGATTTTTAAGAACATTAGATAATACATCACTATACTCTCGATTACCTCAATTGGCACTTTAGTCAATTCATTATTTCCTAAATACAATTCTTCCAAATTTTGAAGATCTTCAAAAACGTCGCTGGTTATTTCGGTCAGTTTATTTTGGAAAGGTCTAACGATTTAAGTTTTTTGAGTCCTTGAAATATGTTTCCTCCGAGGTATTTTATGCTATTGTTAGTTAACGATAAATATTCTAAGTTGGGCAGATTTTTAAAAGCTCCTGGTTTTACAGATTTTATACCACTTGAAGTGATATTGATAAATTTTATCTGTTCATTGTAGGGGAATCTGAAAGGTTAAGTTAATTATAGTTAAAAATAGGTTAATCGAATCAGGAAATCTGGTTAATCGATCTGAATTCCAATAATCACTTATTTTATAATTAATTTTGTAGTTATTCTATTGTCGTGAGTTCAATAGACAGATAAATGAGCGAAATGTAAAATTTACAAATTGAAATGAACTGTAATATATTTCAAGTAACATTAAAGTAATTTTTTCCTCAACCTTGGCAACATGGTTGCTCCGCTGTTTTGTCCGCTTGCTCCAAGTTCTATTTCAATTTTTTCATCATTTCGTGGCCAATCCACTCTTTCCCAATCAATATATGAAAACTTACATGATATTGAAAGCTTATTATCTGGATTTTTTATTTTAGAACATTTGCACACCTCACAAAGATCGATTTTGCTATCACCAAGTATTATTTCAAAAGAACAAAAGAAAACGACGTATAAAAAAATATTCTTCATTTTGCTGTAATTACTGGTAAAACAGTGCTTTATTTTATTTATTATAAATTAATTTTATATTACTATAGTAAAATGTATTTTATTCAAATAGCGTATACGATTTATAAACGTTGAAATATGAACCCGCCGTTGTTAATTAATGTTCAAAGTTTTCTCTATTGTTTTAATATTATTGTTTTAAATAATGCTCTGACTAAATAATCTTCCCTCTTACGAATACAAATTATTATTTATATGCCACTACGTTCGATTTATTATATCTTAACGTAAACACGCCTTTGTTTTCCACTTTTATTTGCTTCCTATATAATTACGCCACGTTTAAACAAAATTATTTACAATTTTGTGCATAAGAAAAATCAATTCACAATTCTGACTTTATTACTCAAAGTAATATTTGTTAGGCGTCCTATAACGGGCTTATCTAATCATTTCATTAATATACTCGTAGATAAGTTAAGATATCACGGCGAGATGTGTTTTTTGTAGCGATTAAAAATATATTATTGGTAATAGAAAAAAACTGCAAATTGAAATAATATGCTTGATAATGGTTTATTTTGTATTTTTCAAATTTCAAAATACTTCAATATTTATTTATTTATTCAAAATTCCTTATATCTTATCGAAGTCACCTGTCGTTTGGCAAACATCATAGTCTGATTGTTAGATAAAAAAAATCCAAGATGAAAAATTGTAATAATTTCTTTATAATCATAATTACTTTATAAACTGTTTTTCAATATAACATTTGAAATTTCATTTAAAAAATACGTTCGTTGATAGAATGTTACGAAAAAATACGTTTTTCTCGGTTTGGACTATAACTGTACAAAAAATTACTGTAATAACCTTACAGTTATTACGATTTACATAAGTTTCGGTATTTTAAATAATAAAACAGAACATTTTATAAATAATAATTTTATTTTAAAAATATATATAATAACAGTATTACAAATTCTCCTTCTTGAAAATATAAATATAGATTATTATAATGCAAAATATATATATCAAAAATATTTTATACCAGAACAGGTATTTTTAAGATTATCAATTTTTTGTATATACATTTAAAATAAATAGTTTATTCATAGCCCATATTCGCGTATGACTTGATCCGCAATCACCAGCTTCTGGATATCTGTAACCCCACCGTAAATTTCAGTGATTCGTGCATCTCTGCAAATAAAATGGATTGTGAATAGAATATAAATGAAAAATCTAATAATTATATTTAACTTAAGCCATTTTTTTTACCTATAGTGCCTTTCAGCTGGCATATCGTTCACATATCCCATCCCGCCCATTATTTGCATAGCAGTATGTGCTGCGAATGTCGCGCATTGGCTAGCTGCGATTTTAGCCATAGAACTGTATTTTGTTGTTCTAGAAGAAAAATATTAGAAGATTCATAAAACATATTAAATTGGATTATGTTTTAGTGAAGTTACCGTTCGCATGCATCCTTCATAGAGGCTGCTTTCCAAGTTAGCAACCGTGCTGACTCGTGTCGTAAAGCTACATCTGCTATGTGTCCCTGCGCAATAAAATATGTTTAATTGGCATTATTAATATGAAAATATATAAATGTAATTAAATTAAAAAAAAAATCACTTTTACGGCAGGCATGTCTATCAAATAAGTTCCAAATGCTTTTCGTTTTGAGGCGTATTCAACTGCTGAATCCAAAGAAGCTCGTGCTATACCTTAAAGAAGAAGGAAGAGATTTAAAAAAATCGTCATCCTGGATAAATAATTGAAATATTACCCTAAATAACAAATTCTTCGGTCTGATTTCTTGTCATATCAGTTAAGAAAATAAATTTATTTTCTAAATACCTAATGCTTGCGATGCGATTCCAATTCGTGCCAAATCAAGTTGCTCCATAGCCATGCGAAATCCTGACATGGGCTCGCCTATCACACACCAGTCCGGTACGCGCACATTTTCCAGGCTTAAGCTGCATGTGCTACTTGCCTTTATTCCTAGCTTTACTTCTTTCCGAAGAACGCAAAGCCCCTCGGCGTCCATTGGGACCAGGAATGCTTTATTATTAAATTATATAGAATTATAAATTCGACGATCTATATTTTTATCATCTCTCAAGGCGATAAGGGATAAGAATACTACTAATATATGCACCTTTTAATATTTTTTCTCGATTTTTTCTCGAAATGTAACCAAGTTTTTCTCGATTTCCCTTTATGGTTAAGACAAAAAATTATTTTGAAAAAAGAGCATATTTCAACGAAAAAAGTGAATGAATGCTCGTTGGTAATGTTCTATTTTTGTTTTTATAGTTTTAAAGTTAGCTCATTTGCAGGCTTCTCTTTCCAACTCACTATTCAGTTGAACTCGTAAGCAGAGTCCTCTTTTTATTATAAGTGATTCTATTTTCATATGGATAATATAGTTATTAAAGTAAAACGTAATTATTGTATTTATTATTTGTTAGTAAGTAAAGTAATTATTGTGTTTATTTAATTGTTTACTTCTATTTTACCCGTGATGCCTTTATGTTGTAAAGTTTTGTCAACTGTGGCAAATATCACTGCAGCCTTAGCTTCATATGCTGAAGTCACCCATGCCTAATCAATATAGCATGTTATTGTATTAATAATATAATATAATTTAAATTAATATTTTCATTGAATACTTACTTTCATTCCATTTAAAAGCCAATGGTCTCCATCCTTTGTTGCTGTAGTTGATAGGGCTGCTACATCACTGCCAGCCTCTTAAATAACATTTGATATATTTTATTAGAAATATTTAGATATTTATATTGAACATTATTATTATACCTGATTCACTCAGAGCAAAAGCACCTATATTTCCACTTGTACAAGGTCGTAGAAATTGTTCTTTCTGTTTTGTGGTCCCGAGTCTATTCAAGAGACAGGCGTACAAACAATTGTGGATTGAAACTATTGCACCTTAAGTATTTATATCAATATTATGATAATGAAAATTAGCCGAGATTTATATCATTGGAACATTGATCTTGTAATGTTTCAGTTTATATATCGATATAAGCTTAAAAAGCACTATAGTGTAAGTCAACACAATCAATATCAATGTATTACATTATTTATTAGTATTAGGTTATTATCATTACCAGTTCCTCCGCATCCTCTTGCAATTTCTTCAACAGCTAATGAAATAGACAAGGTGTCTAAACCTGAACCTCCATAGTCTGGATCTACGTTTATTGCCATAAGCCCCAATTTTCCAAGGTGCTGAATTTGTTCTGTTGGAAATCTATTATGTTATTTAATATAAAATACATATTAACAATAATTGTATACAAACTTGTTATTTCTATCTAGATCTCCAGCTATAGGCTTCAGATTTTTTTCTGCAAAGGTGCGACATAATTTCTGTAATTCCTTATGTTCGGATGATAAATCATGTAAGGAAAATGTTCGCTTAAAACATTTACAAGGGCCTGAAATAAGGGTTATTGATATTAGCATAAATATAAAATAAAGTGTATTACTTTACGTTTATTACCTATAAATATTCTAAAATTAGTGCTTAGTATAAATCTTTGAATCTTCATCATCTTATGGGCATATTTCTGTATTATATATAATATTGAATAATTTATCGCTTAAAAATATTGAAAATCACGCGTGAGTTTGACATTGACATTCGTTGACGTCAATGATACAACATGGTGATTGCGCCATCTTGTAGTTATTATCAATTTGAAAAATTTAATTGACCGGAACCATAGTTAAGGAACCGGATCTTACCATTTCAGTATCCTATTAAGCTCGGTACTTCCCCTGAATTACAATAGCAATAATAATTATGCTAATTTTATCAAAACGATATGATGAATGGAATGAATCCTAGACAATATTAGAATACCCCGTGTTCTGTAATGAATATTATCTTGGAAATATGAACACACAGTCTTTTTATCACAATTTATTAAAAACACATATATTAAATTTACAAACTTTTGAGAGTAAGTTTGTCTCAAATCAGTGTAATGTATAAATAATTATTATTTAAATATGATTGTATTATATTTATAATCATATAATTCTTGTAGAATTTGTGGCCATTCTTAAATAGAAATGATTTATACATTATAATGATTATGAGACAAACATTAGTCTTCAAAGATTTGTAACATTAATAATTTTTGGGAATGTGCAGTGTGTTCAAATATCCAAGATAAAATTCATTTTAGTTTCCTTAAACTCATTGAATGCCTTTTCTACATTAATTCAAAGCTTATTATTTTATTAGCGCTTTTGCTATTTATGCAGAATCAATTGTTGATAAGCTTCCAAAATTTGAACTGTATATATTTTCTTTGTCTATCATAAATATTTTATAAGCATTATTTCAATTGGTTACTCAAGATTTGCAACAAACTAAACAAAGTATATTCAATAATATAATAATTAAATAATTATATAGATATATTTATTTCATTTTATCATTAAGTTACAAATTATAAATAATTCTTAGAAAAATATTACAAACACCACAGTATTCCAAACCTTCTTACAATAGAATAATTTCTTCTATTATACTTACAATAAGAATAATTTCAAAGAAAAGTCTTAAAACCTTTATACAGGAGTGTAATTTCTATGGAAAACACTCTCACAGTAAAAGGGTTAAATATTTTGTATAAGCTTGAATTTGAATATAAAAAGAATTTATTACAAGTGGACAGAACTCATATTTAATTTTAAATGAATTTTGTTTTAACTTTGTTTTAATTACTATGCAACAATATGTGTTGCGCAGGTAGCATTTATCTAGTATTTCAAATCTGAAAGTAAATCCTTCACAGCACTTTCGTATACAACAATTATCTTAATTCATAATTATTCTAGAGATGTTCTAATTCAGGTGGCAATGGAATCTTCTTTGAAGCTGCAAATTTTTTCAAAGCATCATATTTTCCTCTCCAAGCCATGATTTCCTCCATGATTCTCGCATTATCTTCTTGCATCAATTCCATGTCTCTCCATTCCTGAAAGCAAAATAACAAATTGAATAATTTAAAATCAATTGTGCTGATTGATTAGAGATCAATCTGGAATATACTTGTGACTTCTCGGTCTCCAATTCATCTTTTTGCTCAATCCTTTTTATGCGACAACTAGCTGCATAACCTCGATTCTTTAAGGTTCTTCGGCGTTGTTTCATGCGAACTATATCTTCGCGGGATAAGCCTCTCAATTTTAATTGTCTATTGAGGTCTCTGACAGATATAGTAACTAATTCATCGTCACTTATGTCCACAACAGGTCCTGGAGACAGGGGGGTCTAAGATAGGGATTAGACGGATTAGTTATGATATATTAATATAATAATATATTTCAAATAATTTTAATAATGTAAGTTTAATACCAAACAGCCTTTTCGATTCATTCTTTTTGAATCCTGGGGCATTCTTTTGATACAATTGTCAAATCGTTCAGCGATATGTCAAAATATGATCAACAACATAGACACAACAATATATGTTTTATAGACATTCTTAAATGGCGGACTTAATAAGGCCCACAGGAACTTGTTGTTCGTTATTAACGGATGATGATGAAACAATGAATCGAATTAATATTATCTATTTATAATATATTACTAAAATATAATATAAAAAAAATTTTAATATCTTGCAGATTCTGTTTTTTTTTTTCATAGAAAAATGTACCAAACTTTCGCTTTGACATTTTGTGACAGTTTCAAGATGACGTCGTTTGTTTATAAACAATTCTTCAGAATGATATACGCAAAAAGCGATTGACGTGTTATATGAATGTCACTAAAACATGTCTTTTTTAAAAGCTTTATTACCAAGATCAATAATTTGCAACCTTGATTAATTCTATTATAATGCCTTAAATAATCAATAAATTGTTAAGATGGATTTCTTATGGTTTCTAAGTTGCTGTATTAATTGGCCGTTAATAGTGGGATTATTAATATTATTTATTGTAGTGAATTTTATAAAACTTTTCCTAGATGAAGGACCTGTTCCAATTAGAGATTTTGATAAAAATCATAACTGGCAACAGTGGGTTCCCGCGACATATAAAACACATGTAATATCCTTTTAATGCAGAACAATTTATTTTGTAACTAAATTTGGATTATTATTAATATTGAGTTTATATTTCAGGCTCGTTTTTGCGCTGTTTGTGATTCCTTGCTTGTAACTACTTCAAGTTTTTATTGTGATTGTTGTGGAGTCTGTGCTGATAAACCTTGCATTAAAAAAGCAGATAACGATATTAAATGTAAAGCAATAACACAGACTAAAACTTTGAAACATCATTGGATTAAAGGTAATTATATTCATTTCATTCCTTCATCTTCAAAAACAGGACTTGAAATTATACTTTATATTTCTAACATTAGGCACAATTGCATCGGTCGATGGAACAGAAGAGTGTGCAATCTGTAATAATGAATTTACAGATCCTTGGAAAGGAGATTTTCATTGTTGCTGGTGTCATAGGAATATTCATGGCACATGTTTATCAAGAATTCCTGAAGTAAGTCTATTATTAATAAATGCACATATTTCTTAAGAAATTGGATATTTCTTAAGGATTTAATTAAATTGGATAAAAATTACGTTTTTAATAGACATGTGATCTCGGTCCTTATCGCTTGATGATAGTACCACCAACCAGTATTAAACCTACAAAAATCAGAACTCGCATGAGAAGGAAACAAACAATTATTTCTGTGAATCCACCTGAGTGGCCTGGTTGGAGTCCATTGATAATAATTGGTAACTTTGACAATGAAGCATTCATTTAATTAAAAGTAAACTTACAGTAACTGATTTTAATTTTTTAAAATAAAAAGCTAACAAAAAATCAGGAAGTAGTGATGCTGAAGAAATTTTATCATTATTTAGATTTATTCTGAATCCTATTCAAGTTATGATTATAGGAAAAAATCGAACACCAGCTCAAGCTTTGCATTGGGTCAAATTAGTTGCTCCAAATGTGTGCCGAATCCTTATAGCAGGTAGAGTTTTTTCAATATAATTATAAAATTGTGGTTCTCACAAAAAACTAATCATGATTTTTATTTATGAAAGGTGGTGATGGAACGGTTGCTTGGGTTCTGAATACTATTCGAGAAATGAAACTCAAACCAGAACCTTTAGTATCAATATTTCCACTTGGTACTGGAAATGATTTGTCTCGATCTTTGGGTTGGGGTGCAGAACCTCCAGATATTATTCAACCAGAAATAATATTGCAAAAGATACAATCCGCCGATACAATTAATCTGGACAGGTAATTCAATAATATTAAAGCTTCAACTTTAAATATTTCAAAATTCTTTTCATTTTTAGGTGGGATGTAGAAATAGCAAAATGCACCAGGCTTACATCAACCCTCTATACTCAGACCAAAGTTTTATATAATTATTTAAGTATTGGTGTTGATGCAGAAGTGACATTAGGATTTCATAAAGCACGTGAAAGTAAATTCTATTTGATGAGTAGTAGATTAATTAACAAGGTATATGCATACATAATTTTATACTTGTATATAGTTAAACAATACTTATTTTTAATTATTACAGTTTCTTTATTTGTGTTATGGAACTCAACAAGTTGTTGCACCCACAAATAAAGGATTGGAGCAAAAATTAGAATTAATTTTGGATGGTCGAGTTATAAATTTACCCCAGTAGAAAGTATTGTGCTATTGAATATCAAATGCTGGGGCGCTGGGGTAAAATTATGGGGTAATTATATTAATAAATCTTATAGAAATTAATTGTAATGCTTTATCTTTTTAATTAACCTTTATATTAATATCCCTTGTACTAACATAATAAATATTTATCTATAGATGTTATAAACTTCCATGTGTATTAAAAAGATTAAAATATTTTATGGATCTAATCTATATTCCATAGATATTTGTTACTGTCCAAGTTGACTTTGTTTACTTTTTAATTAGAGAAGCCACATAATAGCATGTGATAATATTCCTAACCACAAAATTAATTTTTTTTTACTCTTTCTTATATAATTTTTAAAAATGCATAAATTTCAATATAAATTCTTATTAAGATATGGGCGATGCTGATGGTACAGTGCAAAGCCCAAGTGATGGTATTATCGAAGTTTTGGGAATAACTTCATCATTCCATATCGCTCAATTACAAGTTGGACTATCTCAGCCATTAAGGATAGGCCAAGCACGTGTTATTGAGGTATGATATTTAAATAAAGAGGACTTCTAAAACATGTAGCTCAATCTTTTATTATTGTTTTTTAGGTGAGGCTACTTAAACCGACTCCTGTTCAAATAGACGGCGAGCCTTGGATTCAAGCTCCCGCGAATATAAAAATATCTTTATCAGGACAGGTTAAAGTTCTTAAGGTGGTTTCTTAATTAGGTAGCAAATTATTGAAGGTGAGAGTTAATTTATTTCAAATATTTTAGTTTAATTTCAGTTTAATCAGAACTCAGTTCTAATTTTAATATCTGATTTGATAATATTTTTATTTGTGATTATGTTAAACCAAATATAACTTATTTTAAACTTGGACGAACCTGGAAGTCTGTTCAAATTAATTATCAATATTTACAAACCCTTTCATTCTTTTAACGCATTTATTTTTTGTAACAAGTTATATATAATTTTTATATACATAATATGATGTCTTAACATTATATTAATATCGAGGATTTGTTTGTCTCTATAAATAGTAAAACATCTAACATAAGTACATATATTAAAATTTATATATTAAAATTGTGGCGAGTATTCTCTCTGTGGAATGATTTGTTTCATTTTGCACTTTGTCATTTGTACATTTGTCTATTTAATAATTTATATTTATAAAATCTATTCAATATTATAAAAAAATATAGAGAAGGAAATGAGTTTATTTTATGAATATTGTGAACTGTGATTAATGAGAGTAATTAGTACTGAGCATTACGATCATTTTTATCACACTTGTTGCTCTTATTAATATAAACAGTTTATTTTATTTAAAACAAACTCATTTATTATATATTTTTCTAAATATAGTTTATGGAATGTATGTTAATGCATCAGTTTATATTCATATTATTATATCCTATTTACCTTGTTCCCATTTTGATAAATTTAGGCATTGTTTTTACCTGACATGATTATTTTAATATCATTTTAAAGCATTATTATTATATATCTCATGATTTTGGTACAAATCCAAAATTCATTCGCAACTGCTCTAAAAATATAAACGTTAAAATAGTGTGAGGTCCCAGCCTCACAAATGCTGGAATGTATCCTTTGAAAAAGCCCATTGGTCCTAGTTTAGCTGTATAATAAATAATCTCCAATACATTTTTAAACTCACCAGGCTTTGCATTCATAGACCTTGTTTTTATTACATCTAATGGCTGAGTCATAGTTGTGGCGATGGCGCCCTATAGAGTTGATAATAAAAATACTAAGATCATTTCTATATAGATTAGTTACATTTTCGTACTTACTGCGGTCAAACTGGCAAGAAAATGAGTGGATGTGTTATCTTTAAAGTTGTACTTAAGTAATTGACCTTTGACGGCATCATAAAATGCAATTTGGCCCACAGTCATCAGAATCGCTCTTGCAGTAGCAGTGGATGCTCCTGAAAAGAGACCTCGTACACCTTCTTCTACAAATACCCTATAGAGCCCATGGAACACATTTCGATAGCTAAAATCATAATAAGATCTGTGTCAGTCTTCATAATTTGCAAAAGCTTTAATTTTGTTAAGAAAAGTGTTGTTGCTAGGAAAACAACATAATGTCTTCACACTATCTTTATTACTTTCTTCGCAATTCAGGGGCCAATTTTCCATCATTTTGCATTCTCACGTTCACCATATCAGCAGGTGTGCCAACAAACCCCCCTGCTGCACCTGAAGCACTGGCTAAGGCTATCAAAGTCACAAATCCAGGTGCTGGGCCATTGGATTTCTCTATTGCTTGTTTGGCAACTTCATATACTCCAAATCGAGTTGTTGAATAAGTTAGTTGACGGCATAACGAAGCTGACAGACCGGCATAAAACGCTGTGATTCCTGGAGAAATTATTTAATTGGTTATATTCTATTGCATGCTATAAAACATATTTGAATTTAATATGAAGCAAATTTCAAATTTTAATTAATCGCTGGACATCATTATTACAGATTGTGAGTTGAAGTATTAAGTTTTCATATATATATATATATATATATATATATATATATATATTCTGAACAAAAGCTTTTTTTGTTTGAAAAATTAACTTTATTTTAATTATATTATACTAGGTTTTCGAGACTAAGCTTCAGGAACAAACAAAATAAAAAATATATATTATATATTTCAACACTTTTCTAATTATTTCAAAACTGAAAGAATTCACTCTTTTCCTTTGTAACCCAATATTTTTTAAAAACAATCAACAATTATCTGAGCGCACATTTTCCAAAAATGATATTGAAAAATAAGTCAAGCTATAATAATGAAGAGTATTTAATAACACTATTGATTTTTGCAATTTTGGAATGATTAAAAAAGTGTATAAATATATAATTTTTATTTTTGTTAATTATAGAAATGATAATTATAGAAAATGATACAACAACCTATAATCTCTGAAACAGAATAAAATATTTAAAATTTAAATAAATAACTCATCGAGGGAAAAAGTTAGTTTTGTTCAGAAAATGTATCAATTAAAATCATACATACACACACACATTATATATATATATATATATATATATATATATATATATATATAATATATATATACATTCATACATATAAATTATTTTCATATATACATCATATCATTTTTAGAACATAATGTAATTTTATCATTATGCAATACCTTGATTTTTAAATATGTTTACTACGAGTTGACCTATTGATATTTTTCCCTTTTGCTGAGTTTGAAGTTGAACTTTAATAAGATCTAAAGGATGTGTTACGCATGCTGCTCCAGCAGATGCTAATCCTCCGAAGTACCAATAAGATTTCTTTTTACTTTGTAACCCTGACATTGCCACCTATTATATCACAACACTTGAATCAATATTTTTTTACATAATAAAAATAATAATAGATATTTGTGTAAATATAAAAAAAAAAAATATTTTTTTCAATAATAGACTGAAAATATTCAATAATAAAAAAAAGTTTATTTTTTTTATTGCTTTGTTCTTTATTCTTAATATTTTTTTTAATAATTTCTATGTCGAAATCTTATTATATTTAAAATTAATGTTCAAATAAAATTAACACCTTGCGGTCGGTGTATTAACTATTTAAAAACGTGCTCGTAGTTACTGCGAGAGCGAACTGAATAGCCCTAGTCATTTGCGAATTTAAATTTCTGTGTTATCTAATAAGGTGAGTTATATCAATTATGGAAATGTCGTGAATTGAATAAACAATTTATTTCAGTTTAAATCTATAGTATTGTTTGCACAAATTAAGTTTAAAATTGTTCTAACATGTTGTGCAAACACATCTTAACCTTGCTTTTCTGTAATGGATACATCAATATATAATAATTTTCGTTAATCCATTGACTTATTAAAGGAGACTTACTGCGATTATTCAACGTTTTATTATGATATCAGTTGCCATTGTGACTTTGTTATGTATTAATTATGCCAGTGTGACGTGTATGGTCTATGACATTCATATTGAACGTGAGAATCCCATTGGATTGGTTCAATGGATATGATAGAAAGGCGTACAAAATGACCTCTACATTATCTATATTACATGTTTCGTCATTCTCAAACAAGTTAATTGCAAATCGGACTGGACGTGGAAATAAATATTGATTTTATTTAATATTCCCAAAAATATTTGGGATAAACTCTAATTAGGGCATATTCTGTAATAACATTGTTTTTCTTTTTATTACATATACAAAATATTTACTTTACTCTTACTCTTAAAATTATTATCAATTAACTATTAACAATCATTTATAATTGATTTTGAGGCAGATATATCTTCTCCAAAAGGTGGTCTCATTGGTATCCGAGAAGAACATGGCTCTGATGCACACTTCATTATTAGCTGCTTATTATCAAAATATGTTCAGGCCGAGTACAATGTTTGCTTTGTTACCTTGCATAATACGTTTCATCATTACCATAATGTTGGAATGAAATTAGGTTATAACTTGAATGCTCTTAAAGAAAAGGGGCAATCAAAACAATTGAGGCAATGAAATTAGTATTAAAAGACTCTAGCTATGAGAATTTAAAAAAAGTTTTATTAAAAGAAATCGAAGATAATGTAGAAGAAATGCTTAAATCTGATAAACATGTATTGCTAATAATAGATGATTTAAGCCATTTGTTTGAAATGGAATTTACACTTTCAGAAATTTTAATGTTGATTAAACAAGTTAAGAGTTTAATCTACAGAAAACCTGGTAATTATGCCATTTTAATGTACATGTTTCATCAGAGTATGACTTAGTCGTAGCTAATTTAGTTCAACATTCATCAAATACTCATGTTTGTATAAGTCCGTTGAAAACTGGATTCAGCAGTAATGTTTCAGGAAAAATGGAAATATCTGAAATGAATGCTCAGACCAAAGAAAATTTGTGGAATAAACAAAGTCTTTATCATTACAAACTACATGATAGATTTGTAAAAGTATTTGCTCCTGGACTTGTATCATAAATTTATGTTTGTATATATTTTTTGTATATTTATAAAAATTAAGTACATGTAAATATTTTTTTTATATGTAAAATGAAATGCGAAAAGGAGGATGTTTGTTGTGAGTTGATTGATTATTAAAATATGTTATATCAATTTCATATTTAACAAATAATACATATTTTTTATATGTTAGCATTTTGTTTTAGTTTATTCAGAAATGAGTTACCAAATTAGAATCTTTAACTTATTAGAAATTAGCAAAAAGCCAAAAGCGAAATGTTTATCAAAAAATTTTTCAAATATGTTTAGCTGAAGTTCAAGAGACGTTGATGTCGTAATCATGGATAAATAAGACTAAAATATGTATAAATAAGCATAAGATCGTAACTAAAGTAGTATAGATAAATACTAAAATCAATACCATAATTCATAAATCGCGCTTTTATTATTTTAACTGAGTAACCTATGACCGTACTGAAGTTAGATAGAAAAGAAATAGTGTTGTGATAAATGTTGGCTGGTGACAGTGAGACGGTGTGTGACAGTTCATTAGCCGTCAAAATGGCTGGAGTATTATTTCGTGTTAATTTGGCTAAAACACAATTGGGTATATAAGCCTAAACTAACATATTTATAAAATGGAATAAGTTGCCCGTCTTAATTCTGTATATGTTTAAGCTTGTTTTAGTTATAATCAATTATGACATATTATATAATATTATCTAACCTACATATTTATATTGTTATTTGCTATATTTTCTTGACAATTAATGATCTGAGTTCTCCCTAAGTCTTATACTATTATAAGATATATTCTACACGTTATTAGTTTTTTAGTACAGATTTTTGCGTTATTTTTAACCTCAATTTTTTTCAATGTGTTTTTTTCAGGCATAATCAGCCCAGTTTTTACAATTAGACATAACAGCGGTGGACCACCACCACCAGGCACTCCACCTCCACAAACACGTACTAAATTTGGTCCTCTTAAAGATGAAGACAGAATTTTTACAAATCTTTATGGACGTCACGATTGGAGATTGAAAGGATCTTTGAAAAGAGGAGATTGGTATAAAACTAAAGAAATCATTCTTAAGGGAGCTGATTGGATCATAAGTGAGTTATATTTATATTATTAATATTAAATTCTGTATTATTAAATTTGCAGATTATAATGAAGTCTGATTTGTTTATTTTTTATAGTTTACATATAATCTCAAATCAATACTTCAATAACAATAACAAATATAATTTTAAATATGATTTCCTTTTAGATGAAATTAAAACTTCTGGACTCAGAGGTCGTGGAGGTGCTGGTTTTCCTTCAGGTTTGAAATGGTCTTTCATGAACAAACCAGGAGATGGAAGGCCAAAATACCTTGTGGTTAATGCTGATGAAGGAGAGCCAGGAACATGTAAAGATCGTGAAATAATGCGACATGACCCTCATAAATTGGTATTTTTTTTACATTTTAGTCTTAATAATGTTTTTATCTTGTACTTCCAATACTTAAATATGAATTTTTAGGTGGAGGGCTGCTTAATTGCAGGAAGAGCAATGGGCGCTCGAGCTGCCTACATTTACATTAGAGGAGAATTTTATAATGAAGCATCAAATATGCAAGTTGCCATAGCAGAAGTGAGTAATGTCTATATATTATTTCTAAATAATTATTATACAAAAATAGTCAAGAGAAATAATAACTATAAAAAATATATTTTATAAACTTATTCATTTATATTTATTTTATTCAGGCTTATCAAGCTGGTTTACTTGGAAAGAATGCATGTAATTCAGGATATGATTTTGATGTATTTATGCATCGCGGTGCTGGTGCTTATATTTGCGGAGAAGAAACTGCTTTAATTGAATCCATTGAAGGCAAACAAGGAAAGCCGAGATTGAAGCCACCTTTCCAGCTGATGTTGGTGTTTTTTGGATGCCCACTACTGTAACAAATGTTGAAACTGTTGCAGTTGCTCCAGTGAGTTTTTATTTCGCTGATCGAATTTATAGATTATAAATTTATAATCCATATTATTTTATTTATAAATATATACATTTATTTATTTATAGTTATATTTTATCTACACAGACAATTTGTAGACGTGGTGGAAATTGGTTTGCAAGCTTTGGCAGAACACGTAATTCTGGCACTAAATTATTTAATATATCTGGTCATGTCAACAACCCTTGCACAGTAGAAGAAGAAATGAGCATTCCTTTAAAGGAGCTCATTGAATTACATGCTGGTGGTGTGCAAGGTGGTTGGGATAATTTGCTGGCTATTATTCCAGGAGGATCTTCAACACCTCTTATTCCTAAAAAGTATGATTTATAAATAACCAAACTAAGCCTAATTAAAAAGGATGATAAATAATATTTTATTGCAGGGTGTGTGAAGAAGCAATAATGGACTTTGATGGGCTTGTTGCATGCCAAACTTCATTAGGTACAGCTGCTATAATAGTAATGAATAAGCAGACTGATATTATTAAAGCTATTGCACGCTTGATAATGTTCTACAAGCATGAATCTTGTGGACAATGCACTCCTTGCAGGTATGAAGATATCATATTTATTATATTTTAAATATATTGTGTGTGGGCATTACATATTTGCTCAAAAGAACTTCAAAATTGTTACTAAAATATTGAACGGTATTTACGTATCATCAGCAGTTGTTACTTTATCACATTTTTTATTTTTTAATGGTGGGAAGTACATGTTGATCTTTGGATTAATATAACTCTGTATTATTGGGTATTCTAACAGACCAACCTAATATGTATAGCGGACAAAATGTGTAAGTGATATGTACTCTCTAGCGGGTTGAAATACCCGGCCCTGAGACATGTAATTTTTATAAACTCTTTTAAAGTTTTTGAAAATAAAGTGTTAATATTTGTTCTAAGTATTTGTGAATCACTTTGTTTCAAATATTTGTGATTTAATATTTTAGAGAGGGTATATCATGGATGAACAAGATAATGTACAGATTTGTAGACGGTAATGCACGACCTGATGAAATTGACATGTTATGGGAAATTAGTAAACAAATTGAAGGTAAGAATCAAATAATTCATTGCAATATTTTTCTTTTTTACTTGGCAGTTAAAATTGCTATGTTTTATGGTATAATTTTGTTTCCAGGTCATACAATTTGCGCTTTAGGTGATGGTGCAGCTTGGCCCGTGCAAGGTTTAATTCGTCATTTCAGACCTGAAATTGAACAACGCATGGAGAAATTTAATCAGCAAAATGTTAATCTTAAAGCTTCGTGTAAAATATAAATATTTAGTTAAAATTTAGAATGTTCTATAATAAATTAATTATAATCCTACAAGCAACTTGTAGATATCAATTCATTTTCTTATTTGAAATCATTTTATTTTATAGAATGTATATGCAATGTCTTAAACTTTTATCCAAATTATGTGAACAAGCAGATTATTCAATTTTTGTATATATTGTTTGAATTAAGGTTGAATATATTTTAACAAAAAGCTGCAGCTTTATATTTTTTGTTGGTAATTTGTATCTAGCTTAATAAGAAATATCAATACAATTTTGAAATTTTGATTTGGCAAGTGTTAAACTTTATCTAAACATTTACATATCGTTTCTATGTTTTAAATCAGGAGTCGGCAAGCTTTTAACTGTGGTGAGCCAAGCCACTCTACCAATATGATTCAGGGTGCCGCCTGAATTCTGAAATATATTATATAACCAGGTTCTAGGGGAGAAGAATTATAACCAAATTTATCTTTTAAACATTTCTATTAACTAGTGGGGTGCATGGCATTGTGCCTTAATTCAAATTGCTAGAACTTTTCATACTGAAATTAAAAATCTTGGTACTGAACCCAAAAAAAAATTACACAAAATATGTACACAGTATTAAAATCTCTATAAAATATCTGATAATTTGATGTACATAAGTGCAATGGGTGTAAAAATACTACAATGTTTCTAAAAATACTACAATGGGTGTAAAATTACTACAATGTTTGTAAAAATACTACAATGGGTGTAAAATTACTACAATGGGTGTAAAATTACTACAATGTTTGTAAACAATACTACAATGGGTGTAAAAATACTACAATGTTTGTAAAAATACTACAATGGGTGTAAAATTACTACAA